AATCAACTTCTATCCTAAAAAATTTATATATTTTGAGTTAATTTTTCAATATAATGATTAATATAAACAGATATACGATACAGTATGACTTAAGCTACTATAGAAAAATGATAGTCACATACATTCCATGCAGTTTATTCCAGAAGCAAATTTTCTAAGGCTTATAAAAAAAAGTATTACTGATACAATACTAAATACAATCTCTACATAAAATGGCAGTTACTATAATAAGCACACTTCACTTTCATATTGTAAAATCCAGAGAACAATGTTTTGTCACGTGCTTTGCTTATCATCTTATGATTTGTGAAACATGAAATTCAGTGATTGGAATAACATGGTACTTAAATTGACACCTTTGACTAGCATTGGCTAAAAATTTTACAACTGAGGTTTAACACACTCAGATGCTGTTTTATAAAGAAAACAGACTAGAAAAATGTTTAGATACCAATCATAGATGGCAGGACCAGCACTAAAGTGCAAGGAAAAAAATGTTTTTAATGTTGAAAATATTTTTTTCTTAAAGGGTGTGTATTTGTAGTCTCAAACGTATTTTGGGATTTATTTTATTAAACTTCTCTTCAAACTTCATTAAATAATACAATTTAGTACAAATAATTGAATATTATGCTACTATTTACAAAAATAAAATCTGAAATCCAATAAAAGATAAGTTCTCTGTACTTTTTTCAATTCGCATATGTGATTTTGCCCTCATGATAAGACAAAATTACCCCATAATTACTAATTATGCTGCTCTCTATATGCACAATTTTTGCTTGTTATTAGCCTTGAGGCTCCCACCTAGCATCACGTAAACACATGATGCTGTAGCTGCATTGTAGCATGCAAATGAGTATGCAACAACCCTCCACCAATAGGAATGCGACAAACCCTCTTAACACAGCTGACTTCCTCTGTACTGTAGAGCACAATCATCATTACTTGATTTGGCACTCGTGTGTATTGAACATTCATGAAAATTTCAGATTTATCCATTTTTCAGTAGAAGTATCTACAAAGACATTGTTTCACTTCCACTTTGGTATAAAACAATGCTACTTTGTTTATGCTAGCCTGCCAATTATATTGCTGTTGGGTTTGTCTTTGTCTGTTTGGAGAGTTGATGGCTTTGTGTGGCAGGTGGTGGAGTCTTCCATGTGGCTTGAGCCTTCTTTTTGTTCAAACACATGGGCCAAGCTACAGGTTACAAGTCCTTATGACGTGTTTTCAAATTCATTTTGATACTTTCTCATGGCCAAGCAACTGTTGAAAGAGGCTTTTCTGTGAATGAAGGATTAATGCTTGTTGATCAGTGGTTAATCTATAATTATGTGCTATCAGTTGGAAGTATCTTGGAAGTTCCTTTGTTGAAAGAACCTCTCACTGCCAGTCAAAGTGGTAGACAGAAATATAACCAATACCCCGATCAACAGAGGAACACGGTTGAACTGAATGAAAAGATACTGAAAAGGAAACTTATCCTTGAGGCTAAATGCCAAAGATTTGAAAAAGATATAGAGTGTTTAATTGAAGCTGTTGATGATCTAGCTGACAAAGCCAAAAACAAGGCAGTATGACTGATTTGGCAAAATCAAATAGTTTCAGGAAAACAGCAAAAGAAAAGTCTTTAGAATTAAACATTCTGTATGAAGAAATTGCAAAGATGGTGGAAAAGTAAAAGAATTGTTAATCTATGTCCTATCATTGTATTTATATGTAGTTATACATGTATATACTTTTGCATAATATATACATAATAGACAGGTAATGGGGATTATATGATTTATTTCATGTTATATTTGTTCTGGAAAATTAATTTTGGGGGCAATAGAAACTTTTGGAAAATTCATGGAAATCTGATTCACCAAAGGTATATGAACCCTACCTCTCTTTGGGGGGACTTGGGCTTCCATGGAATCTTGTATTCCCCTGGGTCATGTTCACTTGCAACATTTACAATGGAATATATGTTCTTTCTATCCTTGCTTGGGATCCTTTGTCCTCAACCATTCATCTTTCTCCTCCTTTACTCAAAGTCTCAGGTCTGCTTCTGTTTTCAGATGCCACCTTGAGGAGATGGGGGACATGTTTCGACTCTCACATGAATTTGGGTCATTGGTACTATGACATATCATCCCTTAAAATCCATCTCTTAGAACTTTTGACAGTACATCAAATTTCAGAATTTTTT